CGGGAGGAGCTCTATCCCGCTCCTGATCTCGGCAGGATCAAAGTTGAGGATAAAAGAGAGGAGCTCTATCCCGCTCCTGATCTCGGCAGGATCAAAGTTGAGGATAAAAGAGAGGAGCTCTATCCCGCTCCTGATCTCGGAAGAATCAAGGTCGAGGATATTTAAGGAACGAACACTGGAGTCATAGTTGTTGATGATTCTGCCCGCTGAACGCGGGACACCCGCAGATGCCTCCCAGACTTGTAATTCCGGTTGCTTCTGATCATGGCTTGTGCTTCATTGTTGGTGAGAGGTTGTAGCCGGCATTCTATTTTTCATGTATTTCCTAGTTTATTTTTTTTCTTAAAAAAAAAAAAAAAAATAGAAATACAATTTAGTTTTATCTTGAAAACAACTTCCTAGACGCTAGGTGATAAACATTAGCTGGTATCTGCGACTTCTTCAGACGAAAAAGGCTTACCGTCAGGCTCTAACGTATGAAAAATGAAGACCACATAGTCTTAAAGAAGTGTATTTCGTTCAGACAAATAGCGAGTATACACTTCATCCTTCAGTCTCTCAATTCTCCCTCAATACTTATTTCCAAAGTGTCTGTGACTCTCAACACATGGGTGGGGAAGCTTAGCGATACTTCGCTTTAGGAATCGGCGAAGAAACCGAAATCGGTTTCCCCCTAGACGTATATCAAGGTTAAGCTGGAAGCGCAATGGAGACGAAGATGAAGTTCCTATTCTTTCCTCCAAGTCAAATTTGAAAGACTTACAAGTCTGTTCCAATGGAATCACTCATGATATCTCCCGAGGAAAGTGATGCAAGTTTCCTAAGTCGAAATGTCTACCGGTTTTCGCATCTCAAAGCTTCACTCGTAGCCTGGGTGGTCATTGTACTTCTTCTCCTTCGATTTTTTTACAGCAGGTTATTGTACCCAAGATTTTTTACTCCACTAAAACACATCACTATTGCTCATCCACCTTCGAAAAGCAACCGTAAGGATGAAGCACCTATGTTAAGAGGGCAGCTTGCGCAACTACGCCATGCTATTGAGACCGTGCCGAACAATGGTCTGCTGCGATTCTATCAGCCTGACCGAGGAGAAAGGGTCCTAGTTACTGGGATAAAGGCCTTGAATGAAATTTTGGTATCAAAAGCCACCGAGTTCGTCAAGCCTCAAACCATCAGGCGCCGACTCTACACCGTTGCTGGGAACGGCTTACTTTTAGCCGAAGGAGAGATACACAAAGTACGTTCACTCATTTTACTTTATCGCCTACCTTCTCATCTGTAACATGTGGAATTGAATTGCGACTCAGTGCAGCTAACTTTTCTCGGTTCAGGCGCAGCGCAAAGACTTGATGCCAGCATTTTCGTTCCGTCATATCAAGGACCTATACCCGGTTTTCTGGACGAAGTCAAAAGAATTGGCGGATCTTCTCGATAGAGAAATAAATAGCAAGGGATCCTCGAGGACAGGCGTTGTCGTGATGCAAAACTGGGCTACTCGAGCTACACTTGATATTATTGGTATTGCAGGCATGGATCATGACTTTGATTCGTTGCGGGACCCAGATAATCCTCTTACCCGGCAATATCAACGGATGCGTCAAGCTCCTTCTTGCTTGGAGTATATTATGGGCAGTTTGCTGTCTCTATTTACGTCTCGTGCCGCATACATCGTCGGCGGGCTCCCAACAAAGCGAAGAAAAGAAGCGAAAGAAGCCTCCAACTTTGTTCGGAACGTCTGCCGAGATCTTATTCGAAAAAAACAGAGCAAATTGTATTCCTCCAAGGCGGATAAGGGAGTGGATATTATATCAGTTGCACTGCGAAGCTCTACATTTACCAACGAGAATCTCGTTGACCAGATGATGACCTTCCTTGCAGCAGGACACGGCACAACCAGCCACGCTCTCCAATGGTCTGTTTACGCTCTTTGTAAGCACGAAAGCATACAGAACCGTTTACGAAAAGAGATCCGTGACAATCTGCCTCCTATTAGCGACCGGGGATCTACCATAACGGCTTGTGATATTGATGGTCTTCCATATCTTCACGCATTTTGCAATGAGGTCCTCCGCTTTTACCCTTCTGTGTCCACCACGGCCAGAGAGGCTTTACATGACACTACAGTTGCAGGAACTTACATTCCCAAAGGAACCATGTTTACTATCCCGATCGCGATAGTCAACCGTGATGTAGAGCTTTGGGGCTCAAGTGCTTCAGTTTTTGACCCGGAGCGGTGGATGGGTCAGGGTCGGGCCAACTCTGGCGGAGTTCAGAACCATATTGGATTTCTCACCTTTCTTCATGGACCCAGGAGCTGCATTGGATCGAACTTTTCAAGGGCAGAGCTAGCATGCCTTGTGGCAGTACTTGTCGGGAGATTCCACATGGAACTCGAAAATCCCAATGCAAGGACTGTATTGAATACTCACGGTATTGGCACTGCACCACTAGACGGGGTACGCACAAGATTAAAGATCCTAAATGGATGGTAGTTCAGTTATGGATTTATATACAAACCCAATCCTTTAATAGCTCGTTAAACTTGGAGCCAGTGGCGCAAATGCGCTTGCATTTTGAAAATATATTCCCACTTCAAGTCATTTCATCCGGGTGATAAATTTTTTGAAAACACTGCCTAGTAAATTGGTGCCCGGTGAACATACATCTAAATCAACATCGACTAACTACACCGTGTAGGCTTTAATAGTCCATAGATGAGAGTAATCGATCTGATTGGCCGCCAAACCCGGTGCTTCGCTTACTTCGGAATGTCGACGAACGTCCCATCTCCAAAACAACTGCTCGCATCATTTGTAGCAACGGCAGTAAATGCATTCCTGCAATTACCATGCGGGGTAGGAAACCAAACTTTGTGGCATGCGTGCATTGCCGTCAGATGAAAGTAAGTTCGAGCTCATAGTGAGGTATTCTACGTGTCTGTCTGAACAGTACATATTAGTTGGCATGCGACGCGCCCTCCAAATTTCCGGCTGGATGTTCGAGATGCACCAAGGCTGGGAAATTCTGCTCTGTAGACCCAACCTATAAGCGGAAAAAGAGAAGACAGTATGTTGCCATGCTCTAGAATGCATCAAAGTCATTCCTGATTATAGGCCGTCAGACGACCGGAGCAAGAATTCGTGGAGTCGAAAGACACCACGAACAGTCTAAGAGAATACCCCGAAGAGAACACTCCTAGTGAATCGCAACCTCGGCGTATATTAACAGAAGACATGGACATCTTAAATGCTGTTTCGGATCCACTGGTATCAATAGAAGCCTTGAACCAAGTCGAATGGTCCACGAGTAGGTCCATTGGGGGCGTGGAACTGCCAGCGTCCCTAATCCAAGAACTCCTTGCGGAGTAAGTACAATGAATTAGAGCATGGGAGCGTCGACATATCTATTACTAAACAGCTTATAACAGATTCTACCAATTTTATCATCCATCATGTCCCTTATTACCGTCACCTTCAACATTCATCACTTACTCCAATGGATGCCCATTCCTCTTTTGGACAGTCATGTTCATAACACTCAGAGGCAGGCCAGATTATCACCAGTTATTCTTATCTCTCGTGGACGAAATTTCTGACATGGCGTATGACTGCATTCGCCCCAAAACAGCGTCATTTCATTCCATGCAGGCCCTTTTATTGCTTTGTTATTGGCCTCCTCCTTTTAATATGCTATCTGATGACCCATCGAGTGCCTTTGTCAACATGGCCACACATATTGGTCTACGGCTTGGCTTGCATCGACCAGGATACGCGAAGGAGTTTGACGCCAAAACATACATTGATAGAAACATGCAGATCCTTCGCCGAATAACATGGGTTATCTGCTTCATCGCCAACGTAAGGTAAGCATGGCGTATCTCCTGCTATTTGACTTGCTTCTGATAATTGTCGAGAATCATGAGATTAATACAAATATAGTGTTTACGGCCAAACTGGTCTTCCGCCTACCGTTAGAGTAGACCATGGCCTTTTAGACATACTTGCTACCAAGCCTACCTGGCTTCCTGATACATTATACTGCCAACTGCATATTTCGCGCCAAACCCTGAATATATTTTTAACCGTGGGAAGTTGCGAGTTATCAAACACCGGCTTACTTCCCAAACCACAACCCGTTATCCAACTGTTTGAGACTGAGTTGCGCGCTCTCGAATCAAAGCTTTCAGCGTCCTGGTCGGAGCTCGATTATGTTAGTTTTTGTGCATGCAGGACAGTATTGTACGTACTTGCTCTTGCTGCTGTTGATAACTCAGATGATGGGTGTCGTTTGGTTGAAGAAGAATTGCGATCGCATTGGGTACTTCAGATATATGTGACTTCAATGGCTGTTGTCCAAACCGCGTCGAAAATCCGAGGACAGTTTCTCAAAACGCCGGCACGTTTATTCAAGACTTTAGCTGGTGCTATATCATTTCTCATTTTATTAAGATGCTCGAAGTATCATCACCTGGCTGTGGACAGTACACTCACCGCTGGAATTCGACAAGGATGGGATCTTTTACGCGGTCTGGCAATTACGTCTGATGATTTTGTGACCCGAGTTCACGCAGGACTTGAGCGCTTGAGCAGGTATTGCGAGACTCTGAAGCCAGAGGATAGGACCCAGGAACTCCTGAGCGTCAAAACGAGAATGGGCTACAACGTAGCACGCAGTATTGCTCTTCTTATCCAGGGGAAAGCGCCGAGGCAAGCCGAGGAGAATATATCATCCAGCGATCCCAATGAAAGATTGGCCAATGATACCATCAATACTGAAGACACGGATCTCTTTCTGAATTTTGATTCGGACGATTCTTTGCTAGGAATCTTGCCACAAATCATCTAAGTATAGCAATGTATCACGCAGCACTGGGCGATTACCCACGCTGCAAATGGCTCAGTTATTGAAGTATTCATGATGTACTTGCTGCGGTACAACGAGTGCTAGTGCTCCACATGATACACTGCGGCTGGGGGTTTCATGGATGTTTCATAGATGTATATATATTACGATCGTTTGGGGCTTACCAGCAAGGCCACTAATTTTGAAAGTCTTGTCTAGTGGTAAATCTTCCGGTGTTTTATCTATATAACCATGAATTCTCACAGAAGCATTCGGAGGCTCTGAAAACAAACTAACTACGTAGGTAGACTTTGTCTTCACAAGATATCCTGTATCTGTGTGGGCCTTCCTCTTGCTCGCATAAGACTGTCCTTATTCTTGTTCATTGCACACCTACGGCTACGCTCTTAGGCAAGCTTGTCCAAGCTTGTCTACTGAAATCCTAGACTACAATCTTGAAAAGATAGTTAGATTATTCTAGTAATGCTAATTGGATCTTCTCTTCTCTTTCTTACTCTCCAAGAATTACGCCAGTAGCTACTAAAGCAGCTATCAGTGATCATAGATGCCACGACGACCATCCTTGTCCTTGTCATCGTCCTTACCGTCACGGTGGTCATCTTTGCCATCGTCATCGCGGTGACCGTCCTTTTTCCCGTCTTTATCACGGCCATCATCCTTACCACCATCCTTACCATCATCGTCATCATCATCGTCATCGTCGTCATCATCATCATCAAGATCACGATGTCCATCCTTTTTCCCGTCCTTGTCACGGCCATCGTCGTCTCCCCGAGGAGATTTGCTACCATGAGCGGAGAAGTTGATGGACACATTGTCAGGTGGCAGGGCGACAGGGTTGACACTAATATCGTCGTTGCGTTTGGTGAGGGCTAACAAGTCTTCAGTGTAAGCATCAAAGTAGTATAAAGTTTTAAGGGAAAGCATACCAGTAGTGTCCTGCACACCGACAGGAACAGCGGCAGCCAAAGCTGCGAATGCGACGAGGAGCACTGGGACAGACTTCATGTTGGAGATTGGTTCGTAGACGACCCTCAAGGTTATTCGTAGTTGGTATTTTTCGAAGTATTTATTGCGTTAATTTCTCAAGTGCGATTTGCCAATCTTCGTGTTCAGGGGAAATCACGACCTCTTTATAGCTGAATAAAAACATCTATATATATCATTATTACCACCTGATGGACATCATAATGAGTGAGAGGTACATCGTACAACAAACATACTTTTAACTCAACCGATGAATATCTTTCTATGATTAAGGCTTGCCCAAAAATTTGAGGTGCTGAAAAAAGGCCTACTTTTATTTCTTCGATCCTTGTTCTGACTATTAATACGCGTCATAGAATAAGTTGTCTAGTATATCCTAGATAGATGAGAGTTCCTCCAATTTAACAAAGTACCTTACGGAAAGCTTGCGCATTCACAACATTGATCATAAGCACTGATTAGTATGTCTTGAGATGTCATTCTTTGGTAAAATCGAAGCCATTCGTTTGTCTGACTTTTCGTTGTTTCAGTTCCTGGTCGAAGATGATTCTAGATCTTACATTACGTAGGTTCGGGCATGAACCTTGCAATAAACCACGCAATCTGGACTCTCTAACAGCAGTGCCAGAACTTCCAAATTCAGCCTCGGTGAGCTATCCTATCTACCTCATTATTACCTAGGTAGGCAGTTGTACAGGTACATGATTGATGCCTCGATAGGATTATAGTTATCTACACATCTTGGGGGTTTTCTAACAATGTAAAGATATTGTTACCGCCACATTCTAAGGAGTTAAGAACTACCGGTTAAATGAAATCAATGTGGCTTATATATCTACAAGAAATAGGAAACGATTACTTTTCACAGTCTAAGTATTGATGACGATTACGTTACAATTACAGATAAAAGTACCTGATTCCCTCACTAAGTTGAATTAAGCATATCAATTAGATCAACGAGCCTTGTATGATGTCAATAATCTAAAGCATAGTCTACAAAATTATAGTACTAACATCAACAAGGGTAAGCAGGCTTCACCAAGGTCACAATTGAGGCATTTTCGAATCAATTCGAATATTACGAGCAATGAATAAGTCATTACTCGTATATATGAAAGTCTATTCGAATTGGACATAACTATAACTTGTTTCTTTCCAACCTTTGAGTTTAATAGCTCAAGGACGAAATGTAGAAGCTCAAGTATGATGTCTACATCCCGACTGGATGTGTTTGCAGACTGCGGCTCAGCCAGGTATGTGGGAAGGTCCGCAGCAGAGAGTGATACCAAATACAAGCAAGTCGTCGAGCAGCGATGGGCTGTAGTTTTGTTAGGATAACGGATCAGTCATCTTGTGAAGAGTCGGAAGTGCTAGATGTCTATACAGCTTGATCTTTGTTTTAGCTTCATCGTATGTCGATTTACAACTAGCTATTGTTGATACATCTTTAGAATCTCTTGTTATTGTTACGACCACATGATTTGCATTCTCATTTCTAGTATCTACTAAGTTTAAGAAGCTGGACATGCTCTCTTTACCAATTCTTATAGATCTTTATACAACATTTATCTTTATCATCCACGTACCATAACCAGAACATGAGTCTTGACAAATATCGCGACAACCTGACCGATTTTCATCACGATGTTCAAAATGCAATCAAACCCAGAAAGAAGATATGTTCTGGTCTCAATTTCCACGAAATGGGGAGTTTCGGAATTTTTTTCAGCTTTCGTCGGAGTTTCGGAGTTTCGGGGAGAAAAGTGCCCTGCCGGATTATTGCACATTTCGGAGTCTTGATGATCTCCATAGACAAATCCGTCATCTTCAGCTTCCGTGGGTCACAGGGAGGAAGGCCTCCCTTGCTCCGGGCGTTGCGTGTTGATTATCAATGTTGAGTTCTGGATATAGCTTGTAGCACTGCAAGCATGAATGACTTTGAGAGATATAAAATGACAGCAATTGGAAGGGCACTTTCCACAACATCAATCATCCACATAGATGAGTTTCTTTCTCTCCTGATACACGCCGCTCGATCTTAGTCTCGTTATACATTCATACGAGTCCAACCGCGCAAACTTTCCTCCTCTATACTTGTAATGGCTCCATTCACCCTCTACACTCACGCTGGTAAGACCTTCTTCTTCAGTTGACCAGGAGTTCTTTAACAAAATGCCTGCAGGTCCCGGCCCAAACCCTGTCAAGGTGGCCATCGCCCTCGAGCACCTCGGTTTTGACTACGATTGTGTTCCACTCAGCTTTGGCGAGGGTGAAGGCACCGTCAAGGATCCCGAGTACACCTCCAAGGTCAACCCTAACGGGCGAGTTCCTGGGCTGATCGACCATAAGAACAACGACTTTACCGTCTTTGAGAGTGCCGCTATCCTACGATATCTGGCTGAGAAGGTACCAATTAACCTCCTCTTCACCGTTTGATTCCCAGCTAACAGACGAATCAAGTATGACCCCAGCGGCAAACTCGCCGGCAATACTCCCGAAGAACGGGCTACCGTCAACAAGTGGCTTGCCTGGCAGGTGTCCGGTATGGGCCCTTACCAGGGCCAACTGGTCTGGTTCCTCGCCTTCCACGAGGGTGCCCACGGTGAGAAGCCCAACGGTTCTGTGATTGCGCGCTATCAGGTCGAGGTTGAGCGCCTGCGGACCGTGCTGGAGAAGCACCTCGCATCCGCTGAGAACGGGTTCGTTGCGCTGGGTCGTCTGACTATCGCCGACTTTGCAATCATGCCGTGGTTGAAGATATCGGTGCTGGCTGGGTCTGCACTCAAGCCTTTTGAAGAGTACCCGGCTATCAACGCTTACATCAAGAAGCTGGATGCACTGTCTGAAGTGCAGGCGGCTTACAAGAAGGCTGTGCCTCCTATGCAGTAGATTAGTATAAAATATTCGAACATATGTATGTGGGTTACAGTCCTGGCAGTATTAGTCTCAGTTGTTCTGAAATATTTTCGAATTTTGCTTGTCTTGGGTTGATTTAAATTCCTGGTCATTTCCAACTCCAATGCGTACAAGTTCCTGCGTTCTACGATATAGACTGAACGGGGCTCGTCTTCTACGTTGTACTCATCAAAAAAATCCTATAGCAGAAGAAAAGATCCACTAAATGGAAAGATCTACGGAGCAACTAGATCCATGGGCTTTCTATAGCCTATGTATCGGTACATTCAAACTCCGCGGCGGCAACGGGAAGCCGCCAGACTCCGCTCGGAACTTTTGCATCTCACGATTCAAGCCGAGCGAATCCCATTAATAGGCTGAAAGCGAAGGATGTATGTCAAGGCGTCTGACCATCTGACTTAAGCTAGGGGCCGCACATCACTCGTGGCTGAGAAGCGACTTCACTTGCCGGCGGGCCGGTAGGCTGAGGCATAATAGGTACACTCGCCGATACATCCTAGAATTTTGCAAGTGTTTAAAGGAATCGACAGAAGTACAAGCCTCTATTTCTCGTAGTCATTAGGCGGCAAAGCAGGCATCAGCGCTAGAGGGAGTTGTGGCAGAGTCGATAGGTTCACTCTGCAGAGACGAAGTCGTGTGGCTCATACGAGTGCCAGGAGTACTACTATAGGAGTCGGCAAATTGCGAAGTAGTTAGTCCAAGGGGACCGGGCAGGTCTCCCAGTGTCGCAAACGAGCTATCCTTGGTGTGAGAATCAAATGGTGGCGGGTGAAAGTCCAAGAATTGCCAAAAGTTTGGGCTGAGACCATTGGAAAGAATCGGCAGCACGTCCAAATCAGGAAATTCATTAGTGACATTGGTAAACGGTATCGACACGTCAGACGGCGAAAAGGGGTCAAAGGGGATCTGATGCTGTTGCACGAGCGCGCCTCCAGGGTCGGCTCTTCCGCCCAAGGCCCTGAGAATATCAGTTACCCTGAGTCTAAGCGAGCCTTTAGAAGCTGGTGGTCCTCCGGGGTTATTCCTGCTGGAGTTATTGGTGCCGTCATGATCGGGGTCGCCTTCTTCAAGCTTCATCAAGGCTTCTAGAACAACGACACTACGCTGAGCAGACCCTTTGACTTGCTCTAAGTGCAGATCGTGGAGTGATGACTCTTCCGTGATGCTTTGGGTTCGTAACAATTCAATCGCTTCACTGATCTTGTCGCGAGTCATCAATCGGCTGAGGTGTGCACTTGCACTATCCGCATCCGTTTGCTTGGGTGTGAAGAGCAGGTCGAGGAGCAGCACAACGGCCGCGTTGAAAAGCTGAGTCTCGCTTGTCGACAGCGAGGCACAAACAGCACATCGCGCCTGGATATGGGTCTGGGTGCTGATTATATTTTGGGCCAGAAGCTGACAGAAAGCACGGCCAACCGGAGAGGAGAGATTGGGTCGATGTAATCGAAGCAGTAAGCTCCACAGTTGCTGGTGCAGCATCCAGCGCTGCACAGAGATTGCTGCCATTGGGCCGGTGGCGGTGAGTCCAACAGTGCTTCCCAATCGAAAGTACGACGGCAGACCAGCCACGTACTTTTCGTACTTGTTGTTGAGATGTTTGCGCAACTTGGCAGATTCGGTCTGCCGAGTCGGTAATTCCCAGAGATCGACGGATTCGCGTACAATGCCGCTGAGTTCGAGGGTGTGGAGAGTATACGACATCATAGTAAACTCAGATCGAGGCCGCTCAACGATCTCCCCATTGCCACTCATCCTCCAGAGATCCTCGTCGTTGATGTGCAACGGCATCCGAGTGTTGAATTGTGATGAATGAACGGTATAGTAGCCGAGCGCTTGTCCGCGTGACCAATCTCTCTGTACGAGTGCCCACCTATAGGAGATTATGAGAAAGTGGACTCAAGATCATTCTGCTCTGGGCTCCTACCAAATGCGAATACCTACTTCTGTCCGAATATGTAGCGGCTCCACCGACGCTGACGTGCCGTTTTCCAATGGAGCCGAGTGTGATGCAGAGGTGTCTAGCTTGATGTCACCCAACCGGTGCAGACCGAGTTTGCGGGCCCCGGAAATCGCAGTGACGAGAACAGTGTCCAGCACCAAAGAGCCCTCCTGGCCGTCAAGTAAAAGCATAATTGCGGCCTGTAAGCCGGCGATCGAGCCACAAAAGAGAGACACTCCACCCTGGAGACAACGCAAGCTCAAGGACCTCCATGTCCTGGAGTGCATAGCGGACGCTCGTAGCTCCTCCACGCGTTGGGTCTCAGTCGTAGGAGTCCACCCTAGAAGAGAAGGTGTAGGATGAAAAGCGAGACCGAGTACGAGCTTGTAATCAAAGCATGATGTGAGCAAGACGCCTCCATTGTAGGATGTACTACACCTACCGCTAAGAGGTAACAGCCCAGAGTTTCCATAGTGACTGTACTAGATATCGCCAAGACCCGCGAGTCCGGTGAAGCAAGACCTAAGCACTTGACGAACTGTTCAGCTTGCTTGGTGAACGTCGGAGTGTGGAAGACATTCCCCAAGGGGCCCTGGCAACGAGTGACAAAGACTTCAAAAAGAGGATGAATCGTGTCCAACGCCGGCATCGCGTCGACGATTTCTCGGATCAAGGCAAGTTTCTCACCGTCATTGCTCGACCAATACCGATTCGGAATGTCTGGTGCGACTGACAACGGCGTTGGTCCAAAGTCAGCATTTGGACGAGGAATGCCTTGGACGAAATGCTCCAAGAGCTGGGCTGTCTCCTCTGCCTCTGCTTCACCATCTCCATTCGAAGGCGGATCGCTGACCACCAGTCAGCAGGAGTCAATAGGTAACCTTATCAGGCGATGAGAAGCTACACTCACTGTTTCTTGTCTTTGCGCTCGGTTTTCGACCGCTTGGCTCTTCGCTGGCGCTCATCTTTGGTGCAGAGATGGCCGAGGTTACGCTTGACGCACTCCATCTGTAAAGACAATATGAGCCTCACACGCATCGCGCGGGGAGAAGTGGCAACTGACACAGGGTTCTTGGCGGTCGCATTTTAGCTTGGAGGCCCTACATCGAGAGCACGAGAGCGTAAACTTGCGTACGCCAGGGTCCGAGGCTACATCAACCATTATTGTTGTTATAGTTGTTGTTGTTGGTGATGACAACGGGTGGTGGTTGGATGGTCTAAAACTGTTCGCTGCGATCCAGCCGAGCATCTGCCCCACTTTATGCTGTTTAAGGATCTGCTACATAATATGCTTTTATATTCTCAGAATCCTATCCAGGCCTCAGATATGTAGTGGACAGACCTACATAGCTATAGTAAAGTCCCTCAGACCTTAATTAAGAAAGTTCGAGGAAAAGGAGAGCCCTGCTTTTTACAAAGAAAAATCCCGAGAAGACACGTCTATAGAAGAGAAGGTTTTGTAAGAACAACCGTTACGAGTCGAGACTACTGAAAGAGGTCCATTATATGGCTTAAAATTGTCCCGTCTCTTGCGATACAGATCGAGTTATGCAAAGCCGTTCAGCGCCTAGCCGAGACGGTATACGTAGGCGCAAGGAATCTTAGTACGCCCTCTTTGCCGAGCGTGTATGGATCCAAGTACACTCTCCACTGTGGCCGATGTCCTGCTTTATTTTCCAATGCATCCAAGCCCGAGATGCGCAGTATGGCGTAGACTTCTGACGGCGTCGCCGAAGTGACGCGTAGCCTCTTTGCCTGGTCAATGTTTTAGCCCTAAAGTCTGATAGCTTGCTGCGTGACTTGACAAAGCTTACCAACTCGAGCTGACACCCACTCATATAGAAGGTAGTAGTAGGATCTTGGCTCGTCGTGCTCTTGACCTCTAGGCGGAACAGAGGTATATTCCCATTGTCGCAAACTGTGGACAGCCACTCTGGGGTTGCGTAAGGGTGCTGCGTCTGCAGAAATTGGCGGGTTAGGGCGCCCCGCGTGTCCTTATAGGTAAAATCAGACACTTCGTGGTGGTCAAAGGCCGAGAATCCAGCACGAGACCGCAACGAGCTGGTCCAATTGCCTTCGCCCGTGAAGTCGGGTAGCTCGAGCGTATCGCGTAGCAAGGTGTATACCTGTGCAAGAGTGAGCTTTTAGACCTAGCCGGACGTGATGAATCAGACTGGTCTAAGGGACTTACAAATTGTTCGCCCAAAAAGCCGACTTCAGAGTCACGGGCCATTTCTTCCTCGCTACGATTTATAATCTGCCTTGATCGTCGGCGCGGGCTATAAATGACCTGAGCCGGTGCAGTAGGCTCAGCGGCCTCGAGGGCCTCCCTCAATGTGCTCATGTTAAATGCACCGCCGTCGCCATCAGACCGGCCGCTGGATGTCCCAAGTCGAGATCTGGATGCAGGGCCCGCGTTTCGGGCGAAGCTTTGCATCCGCGCCACGTTCCGGTTGCGATTATCTGTGCTGTAAAGACCAGCGGCCGTGGGACGCGGGGTGATTGGTCGATCGTTGACAGGTACATTCTGATAATACTGAGACTGAAGCTCGGGCGTGGTCGGCCTAGAGTTAGGTTCACGACGCACTTGTGGTCGTAGAGTCGTGTTTGCAGCCGCAGACCCAGCCGAAGCACGCGTATACTGTAAGATGTCTGACCCTTCGGAATTCGAGTGAACATCGCTTGCAGAAGTCGTTGATGCCTCGTCACTACTATCATCATCGCTGCTATCACTATGACTCTGCGAGTCTATGTTGACTGGATCTGCCACAGAAATTTCTTCGCTATCGTCTGCAGTGTCGCCGCCAGTGATGCCTTTTTTGATCAGCAAGGCCTTCAGTGAAGCGATTGGCACCTGTAGGAGGGAAAGAATATCTGGGAGATTGGCCGGTTCCAGGTCCAGTGCCTCTACAAGCTGCTCTGGGAAGTCTGTGATGAGCGCACAATCGCGCGCTTGCTTGTTCGCCGAGACGAATATCTCCAGCTTAGTAGTCTCATCTTCTTCATGGCTGACTTTTACACTGGAACCTCCCTCGCTTTTCGTCACAATAGTGCCATTTAATGTATAGTGCGTCTCTATGTCTGCACTAATCCAGACCGTGACATTTTCAAGAAGTGACCGTGGCTCGTAAGGTGACTCGCACTCGAGGTACTCAAAATATCTATGCCAGTGTAAGTATGAAAAGCGTAGTTTCCGATCGGATGATGAAAATTGCATACTTTACAAGTGTATCTGCACGGCCTCGAAAATCCTGCGTGAGGTTATGATCATATTGAAGCGGTTCGCGAGATTCCGTGTCTACAATAACGTTCTCAGATAGAAACGTGTGGCAGCCTCGATTGCGAAGCAAATCTGCAAGTCTTTTTGAAGTATCAAAGTCGAAGTCGAGAAAGGTATAACTGTCAGAGTAGATGTCGAACAGATCCTGCCGGTCGTTGACGTAGAAAGTTCCAATTGAGCAGAGCTCCCGCCGACAATTTGGCGTGCGGCACGGCCAGCATTTAATGTTGTCCAGTCGTTTTAGCTCCTTGTCGTTCTGCTGCAGGCGGGCAATTTCTTGCAGAAGCTCCTTTACATACTGGTAACTGCCCTCGTCTTCCATGGGGCGGTCCGTTAGTGATTCTAGCAAAGCAGTGACCAGCATGTCCATAGTTGCGTTCGGCACTTTCAACGTATACCGGAACAAATTGCAATATTGATTCAACGAAGGCATGAGGGCATGCTTGTGCCGCAAAACCGACTGCGTCCAGATGCAGTCCTCGAGTGACAGCCATCGGCCGCTTTGGCCGTTGATACCACGAAGAAACAGGAGGGGTTTTTGTTTGAAAGCGCTTCTGTTGAAACGGTTAGACAGGGGGGTTTTTTTTTTCTCTTCACTCTAGACGAAAACACATGCCTTATAGCGTTTGACCAGGGGCGACGGCCACTCTGAATTCTCTCATAGAGCTGATTTACTCGCTTCGGATTGTCGCGCTTCTCTTCCTGCATCAATGCCAAATCGGCAAGCAGTTCACAGATGCCAGCATTTGGAAGTTTGAGGATGTCGGTAAAGAAGGCTTTCGCTGCTGGGGTATGCTGCTCTACGGTGCGACGAATGGCGGTCTTGCTCTCTAGCTCGATCTCATTGTGCGAAAACTCCTCGTCACCCCACACGCACTGAGCCGGAGTTTTCCACTCGATGGCAGAACCCAGGAGAGAGGGAATGGCAATGCAGGCGGTTTGGTCATCGACGCTGAACCTGTTCTCGGTCAGCAACGTTTCATTCAGCATACTGCACTCTACTCACGTGTTGGCGCAGTGGTTTTGTAGATACACATAGACTTCAGTGACATCTGCCATAGTCGTCGACTTATCATGCCTAAGCTGCTCAAGATATTCCTTAACGTCGGCACTCGTCGCGTTCGGGACTTTCAAGATCTCTCGAAAAAGCCGATTCAATTCATAGCCGTAGACTGGGCATAAGGCAGGCTTGGACGAGAAGCCCTCGGGTCCTTGCCAGACACAGCTTTTCAGAAAATGAAATTTATTGCTCGGAAAAGAAAAACAGATAAAAGGATTATTAAAAGCTTCTCTGTCGATAAAAGTTAGCATTATCAGTCGGTCCAGGGTTCTTAAGCGCCTGGAACTAAGACCGCTGTTCCAAACAGTTGTGTACACTTACTTGACCTTCAGCTCCTCGGTAGGCGAGTAAGCTCGCGACTGGATGGCTAGGTAAAGCTGTTTCGACTTGTTGATATCTAGCTGTTGCTTGAAGCCTCTCTGGTTGAGTATCCACAGATAAAAGTCGAGTCCCTCATCTAATCCGACACCCAAGCTTGATAGAAATTCCCAGTCCTTTGGAATACCGCTAGGCAACTGAAGGAAATGGCAGTCATCGGCGTAACCAAAGGCTTGTGTCTTTTCTAAAAGTTTGGGAAAGGGAAGGTAGGTCTTGCACAAAGCAGCTCGATCTCCCGACCTGCACATGAATCCATGGTTTGCTAGTGTGACTTTCGCCATCTTCGTTATACACTTCTTGTAAAGACTCCAGTGCTGGCGCAAGATATCTAAAACCTGGTCGCTTTTATTAGCCAACAACCATTCAAAGTCCCAGTGGAGCCCCTGGAAAGCAGTTGAGATGAAGCGAGGGGCTAGCGCTACGCCGGCTGTTTTACTTAACCATTCTGCGAGTTGGGCTCTCTCAGAAGGATCGAGTTCTGCAAAGTAGCCGTCATCCAGAAAATGTGCGTCGCTGGAACCGGAGAAAAGCTGTTGCAGCTCGCCACCCACAGAAATATTGGCATATAACGATGTGCCCTTTTTGAAGTACTTGCTGGTGGAACACGCAAAGTATACCTTATGCATGTCGCCAGGTCGCAGATGCTCTCGCATCTTGTAGAGGAACTTTAGCTGGGCGATGAGATCATCACGACTTGCAAACCTATATTCGGCGTGATACTCGATGATCCGCTTGATGACGTTTGGGATGTCACAGTCCTTTACTCCAAGGAGTCGAAAGAGCTTACTCCTCTTAGGGCAAGCGCAAGCTTCTTCGTCGACGAGAGACAATGGTAGTCCAGGTGGAATGACCATTCCCGAGCTTGCCGGAAAGTATATTGGATCATCTTCAGAAGGGGGACATCGCCAGGTGCCGTCGGCCAGGGGGATCAGAGAAATGTCTGTCAGGTCTCTGGCATAATTTTTGTCGCCCCTTGGCTCCTGTGGCACGAGAATTACTCTGGCGAGATCGGAACACCACTCTTTGCTTTGCATCTCTATGTGAAGTAAGTTCTGATCGTGTAGCTCCCTAAGCTTGTCGCACAACCACTTCCAGTCAGGGGTCGTGACACCCAACAACAAGAGCGCCTCGCGGACCGACTCAGGATAATCGGGATGGACATAGTCGCACATTCGCCCAAACATCGGCTTACCATTGCGAGTGTGCGCCCAGTCCAAGAACATGAGATCTTTTGGCGCCTGGACCATGCGATTTCGGTCCCAGACCACTAGTGCACTGCTGAGGTGTGTATTTATGCTCTTTGCTATGTTGCACCAGTAAGCGCTCGAGCTATGGTGATTGAGATTGAGGTAGAGTGGCCACGTTTTTGCTAGCTCGTGTAGGTTTAAGTCATCGCTACTGAAGTTAAACTTGTCGATAGCTGCCTCAAAGGCGTGCGGAATCGCGTCTGCAATGTTTTTGTTCCATGTGCTATCTTCGTCGACCGATTGTCGATCCGACGTGGTGAGGAAATCCGCCTGAATTACAAACTGTGCACAGCATTAGCAGAGGCCTTCGAGTCATAGAGCCATCATAACGTATCGCACCTTGAAGCCAAAGTCATCAAGAGGTAGATATGCAAAGACAAAGTTTCGCCTCCGTATCGAGGGCACATACGTGCCCAAATATTCCATCACCGGGAAGGCCAATACAATGTCAGTCTGTGTGATTCCTAGTCGTCGGATTTCTGTGCACTCAACAATGGCGGGGAGTCGATGTTTATAGAAGTGGCGCATCGTGTTGGTATCTTCATCTTTGAGAGACACAATTCCAGGCTTGTGCGCCCCGTTGATGCGCTGGAAGCTTTTTGAGATGGCCGGCTTATCTTCCGAGAACGACTTGAAGAGCTTGAGATGGAATCGTTCTATGCGCCGCAGGAAAAGGATTAGGACAGGGTCGATTGCGTCAAAATCCTTTTCTAACGCAGTTGAAAAATCTGCCGTCTGGTCGCAGATGTGGTCCAGGACGATGGTCGTCTGATGCTCTTGCTTGTAGTTGTTAAAGTAGTCTTTGTCCCACTGCGGCGTAATCATGCCAAGCTCTCTCTTCTGATCCAGCTGGAAGTAGTAAGGAGGAGAGCGTATGTGTGCTCGGTTGGCGAGCTTAAAGACCGACTTGAAGCCGATGCCCTTTTCGCCCGTGTATCCTTGGCCAGGTCTTTTGGAACTCCGGCCCGTACGGCATAGTGCCTGAATGTTCTCTCTGGAGAAGCCCTCCTCGTTGCATTCGATCTTGACATGTTTGGGAGAGACGGTGATGGACAGTGTCGGCATCTCGCTCTCTGCATACTTATTGTCATCGGCATTCTGAATGACTTCGATTAGGAACCGCGCGCGGCTCGTATACAGGTCACTTGATATGCTAAGGGAGGGTTACTTTCATTTAATAAAGAAAACCAAAGGGGACCACGGCGTGGCTCTCACATTTTCAGTGCCTTTGCCAAGTCTTCTCGGGTCTCCTCGCTACCTTCGATCACTTGCAACATGCCCTTGCGGCCATTTTTAGCCTCCTCTTCTGCTTCTTGCCTGAATGCAGGAGTAAAGGTCCCTTTGTGCCGCGCTAGCTCTTCAATGACTGTGCGTGCGTCCTCTATAGTTGTCACAGGACCCGGGTTTCCATCCATACCGTAGCTTTAGACGCGATAAGTGTGCAACAAAAGTGAGAAAGCAAAGAAAAGAAAAAAAGAAAAAGGTATTAGAGGAAACAGGCTCAACGGCGAGACACAGGCAACTGAGATATAAAGCGTTACATTAGCACGAGCATCTAGACTCGGCGGTCTCCAGTCATTTCCTTGGGTCAGCAACTGCAAGCCGAAGTGATTATGTACAGCGTTGTTCGACCGATTTGCCAGGGAGAAGTCGTGGGTGGGCTTGCAGGCGCCAACGTAACATTTCCATAGCTCAAAGCAGTTGTGATTGGACAGTAACAGCCAGCTTCGAGGAACCCCCTGTCTAGCGCACCTAGGGAGTTCTTTCATGCCACACGCCTCCGCTCAGGTCAGCCGCATTTTGCATCGAGGCGCGCAGTAAAAAATTTGAAATAGATTTAGACATAGATATATATATTAGTTTTCTATCATAAGCAATGAGACTAAAAACGTAAGGTTGAGATATTACTTACAAATGTATATATAAAGATACACCAATTTGGCATAGTTCCATAAAGCTACCGCCAGGGCTGATTCTTCGTGTGTGCAAATTTCCCGTTAGGGAAATTACAGAAACAAGAGAGGGGAAAAAAAAAAAAAAAGAAAGGAAAACGAAATATGTGTAAAAATGTCTTTGAATCTGTTTAGTTATGTGGTGAATCAACTCTAGAATACCTGCGAACTTGAACCTGTTCTTAATCGTGTCGAAAAAATAAAAACCTCAAGCATCCAGCTTGTCGACAGGAGTGTCGAAGACGCAATCAGCGCTGCTCGAAGCAAGCTTACCATCCTCCTTCTCGAACCAGTTGTCCCGGACAAAGAAAACCACAATGATGAAGGCCACAGCCGCAACGCCAATACCGAGCCAGAGCGCTCCGCGGTACCCGCGTATAATGTCCTGTCCAGTGCTGTTCACACGGCCCTCGACAGTAGCGGCAATACCCAGACCGATGGAGATGGAGTACTGCACGACCGTGGAAATGAATGAGCCTGCGACACCCTGCTCCTCGGGCAAGACCACGTTTGAGATGAGAATCCCCGACGAGGCGAAGGAGAGATCCGGTCCGCCAACGACGAGCAGACACGCAGGGAAGACGAAGGCCCAGTAGACGGATGAGTAGCTCATGAAGCTCATGATCAGGTTACCAATGAAGAAGGAGAACATTGAGACCCCGAAGATGTACTGCGCGGGGGGACCTTGGCGATGAAGATACCGACGGAGGCAGTTGCGAACAGACCGCCAATGACCAGAGGGACCATCTGCGCGACAGCCGTGAGTGGCTGCGCCTTGTGAACAGTGAGAATGAAGATGGTTGTGTAGTAGAGGAAGATGCCGAACGACATCCAGCCGAACGACATGGCCGCCACGACGGGGGAAAAGCCCTTGCGAGTCCATAGTGTGTTGGGGAGGACGGGGGCCGGGACGTGAGACTGCGAGAAGGCAAATACAACGATCAAGATAATGCCGACGACGAGAAGGGCGTAGGGAGGCTTGGTTCTAGGCGAAGGACAAGAGGATGAGACCCGAGACGCCGAGAACAGATCCGATGTAGTCAAATTGCCTGATGCTGAGTCCGGAAATTGGCGAACCCACGCTGTCAGGGACTATGAAATAGGTCACGACACCGAGGACGAGGCAGCCAATGGCCCAGAACCAGAATCCCCATCGCCAGGTGACTTTCTCGGCAAAGGCAGCGCCGATGAGTCCACCGAAAATATAACCCGAAGGTGCGCAGAAACCGAGGAAAGCAAATACAATATTCTTTTTGACCGAAAATGGTGGGAATGCACGTGCTAGGAGGGCGAATGAGTTGGGAACCAGTGCACCGTTACCGATGCCAGTCATCCCGCGAGCAATATCGAAGAGAATCACATCGTTGGCAAAGCCGCTGACCAGAGACCAAAGTGCCATCCACATCCATCCAAAAAGGAAGACATACTTGTGGCCAAAGTGGTCACCCAGGCGTCCAGTCACCAGAACAAATTCGCCACCACAGAGAGAGTATGCGGCCAGGAACCAGGACATCTGGCCACTGCTTGTGGCGTTCAGCGAGCGACCAATCTCTTGCACTGAGAAAGCTGCAGTTCCGAGACCGCCAACGGAGAAGAGTTGCGATAGACCGATGACAAAGATGAAGAGGGCCTCCTGGAAGGTCGATGAGAAGGCGGATAGAAGTCCTCCAGCGTCTGGTTCGCCAGCACCTCCAGGTCCTGTCAACCGGTCGTCGGCTATGTCGACTTCCTCTTTGCTGTTAAGGATCGTAGAGCCGCCGGTAGAAGACATGCTGAGTTCGTATCGTTTGTCAGCGAGCGCAGCCTGCGTGAAGAAGAAGGAATCTTCTGGGTCAGGCCGAATTGAGGTATCTGGGTAGGATTAGGCGGACGGAGGACGGAGAGAAGTAAGAGTGCTGCGAATGCCTTGGTTTATAACCCATTTTGAATTTTGCATTTTGCATTATGTGACCAGTTATCATCTTTTCTCGGGGATGGGGGATTTGGCAAAGATCCGGGAGGGAAACCCTCGGGATGGCGGTGAAAGTCCGCGGAATCTGGCCAAAAGTCCGATCGCAGCGTTGATGCCGACCCCATCTTTCATCGTATGCTCTGGTTGACTTGGCCAGATCCCATATACCATTGTCCGCGATAATAGAATGATTATTTCTGCTATACGAGACCGACATTCTCTGCAGCCTGTAACGCCGTCCCAAACTTGTCGCCAATAAAAACCCTCCCGGTTCCCAGAGAAGTATACAGTCTGATCTACAAACAGCACGATTCGTAACAGTAGCTGAGCTTTTGGCTTTATTATAGACTAAGACGCCGGAGCCTGGATGGATGACAAGAACAGTTTCCCGGGGCTACCTAGTGACTCTCCCAGCAACATGCCGCTCGCCACGACAACAAGCGACAGGTGTTTGGCTGGTCCACGACGGAGGTATGCCCACATAAAAAGCAACCCTGAGACTCGCGATAGGGCGAAGACAGGAGTAGAGAGAGAGTAAGCAAGCAAGGAATGCAGATACAGGTTGAGGGCAGCTTATCAATGACGAAGGAAATCCTACTGGGAATGAAAACCTGCCACCGCTTGTCCTAGAACCTCATCTTGACTACCGTGGCGATGAAAGAAAAAAAAAAAAAAAAAAAAAAAAAGCCCCCATACCAAGGGAAAATCTGCCGACACCTGGAAATAGTCCCTTGTTCAAAGTCATTTTGGCCGTGCTCACTTGAAGGAAAGAGTTTGGGATTTGGATGAAGTCCCCCGGAACCGGGAATTGTTCGGTGAACAGTCTACACGTGAAGCAGGAGATAATTGTGCCAAAGATGGATCCTATAGTCTGCCCATATGTTGGACTTCTAGTTGTGCACCCAACCGGTTGCCCTATTTTTTGATCAAATGTAAGGTCGCTAGACCGGTTGGCACCTCCATTTGCGATTACCGCTGACAATATGTTGATAATGATGCTATTTGGACGAGGAGTTAGGGCAGCTAAAATTAATTGAGCCGCTGTACATACCAGGTAGTTTTCATTAAAATGCCGTACCATTAGACCTCAAATTCCAGTCATTGCCACCGGAAGTGCCAGCAAAATCGACAGAAATGTGTAGTACCACGATATTCTACTGTGCTAATACTAAGATTGTGGCTAAGATATACACTAAAATCGAGACTGTGAAGCCTGCAAGTAGGAAATACTTACCGTAGGAACGTATATGCCATCTGTCGGTGTTTCAGGATGCGGTAGAGTATTCAGTTTCATTAGCTCCATCACTATTGTGATCTTCTGAGGGTGCACTCTCACTGGTGTTTTTTAAAATCGGTGAATATGAATATGGTCGGGCATCTAGTTTCAGTAGCCAGAAGGGTGTGCTTCCCCGCACACAGGAAAGGAGATGGCTGCATTCTTCCCAAATCAGTTTGGAGTAATATCAGATCATCTTGGCAAGCGTGTCTGCCATCAGACATGGAAGACTGATCCATATCAGCCAGTCGCGATTGCCAGTCTCCCAACCGCCCACGTCGCCTGGGGCCCATCCTTTTGCCTTGGAATAGGGTGATGAGATGCCCCAGCCGACAATTGCTCCTGTTAGCATGTGAAGCACAATATCTGGGTCCATGGCCATTCCAGATCTTAAGAAGTCAGGCGAGTAGTGAATATGTCCAAAACCAATTTGTGGCCGCTTGACGGTCAAACACAGGCAAATCTTTGGTAGTTGGTAAGAAGTACATGAACCTACACCTTTCATCATCCTAAACGGGAAAAAAAAAAGGGAAAAAAAAAAAAAAGGAAAAAAAGAAAAAAAGAAAAAAAGAAAAAAAGAAAAAAAGAAAAAAAGAAAAAAAGAAAAAAAGAAAAAAAGAAAAAATGAAGAAATGAAGAAATGAAGAAATGAAGAAATGAAGAAATGAAGAAATGAAGAAATGTACTGAATGAAAACTTACAAAAAGTGCGGGCCACATTGCAGAAATCAAGATAATGCCAAGATCCTTCGGAAGCGAGTCCGGTCCTGTTGCGGGCTCATGCTCTTCCCCATCTCCATCCGTGTCATGTAATAAGCCTGTCCTATCGCTCAATCTGGGGTTCACCGGAATTGCATATGACAACAATGCATCTTCCCTGGTATGTAGTGCATTGATCATATTTGCCGATGCTGTCGCTCCCGGTCACGGCCACATCGTCGGAAGAATAAGACAAGTAAATAATTGGAGCTCTGCGCGGAGTATATGAAATCCAAATAGCCAGTCTCCTTGTATGAAAATTATTGCTAACCTTTCAAATTTCATGAGGCCTATTTCTATTTCCATGGGACTTTGGGACTATTATATATTTGCATTAGTTGGGTTGCCTTTTGCTAGAAGCTGAGTGATTACATTGAAATTTATTATTTCTAGAAGTAGCGGTTTGAAAGTGCAATGGTTTTGAATTTATTCCTGCGTGATTACTACAACCCTCGATTCCGATTCCACACACCTTTGACAGCCTGCAATAAAATGATAATCACTATTTTCTACTAATTCGAGAAGATGCGATTTCGCCGCGTAGCCTGGCACGAATAGGCCCAGGGGCTGAGAATTGGGATAACCCAGGAAATTCAAATGCTAGGAGCAGACAGAGACACAAATACAAGGAGAGGCATTCATAAATAATCCGTCAAGGCCGTTGTTTCTTACCTTGGAAGTTCTAGAAACTCGATTTCGGGGAATAATTGATCACCAGTGGGGCTTAGGCCCGGGCCGGAAGTTTCAAAGATCTAGCTGATATATGCACAGCCGAAGAAACCTAGCGGCGCCACGTCTTCCTTAAAACATCGTTAGGTGTAGTAGGCTTCAAATCTTGCCATTTCGACCGCCATGGGCAGCCGCATAATCCGCGTGCATCATGGGGATTATACAGTAGCGGTAATCTGTGCTTTGGGTTTGGAGATGAATGCAGTTCGCAAACTTCTGGACTGTGAGCATACAAACCTGCCTATCAAATTCACGTGATTCGAATATATATGTTCTTGGGGAACTCAGTCATCATAACGTGGTTATTACATGCCTGCCAGGTAGCCAGGGGAAAAGTTCAGCCGCGATCGCTTCGACAAATTTAGTGCGCACCTTTCCCAACATCAAGTATCGTCTACTGGTCGGCATTGGAGGAGGAGCCCCAAGTGCGAGGCATGACATTCGCTTGGGAGATGTAGTGGTTAGCATGTCCACCGATCAGCATGGGGGAGTCGTGCAGTACGACCATGGGAAGGATACTGAGAGCGGCTTCATCCGCAAGGGATTCACTTCTCCGCCACCTTCAGTCCTCAGAAGCGCGGTGTATAAAATGAAATACGATCAAAGCTATATCAAATCAAACAAAGACAGACTTTCTCAGGCACTTGAACTCTCAATTTCGCCAAGGCCTGCAGAGCCGGATATCTTGTTTGAAGTGAACTACGCTCATGCGCTGGGTCAGCACTCATGCAAACAATGCGATTTGACAAAGATTGTACACCGTCCCCGGCGTCCAAATGATGAACCACAGATTCTACATGGCTTGATCGCTTCCAGAAACCGGGTCATCAAAAGCGCTGCAAAAAGGGATGCAATCAGCGAGGATCTTGGAGGTGATGTTCTCTGCTTTGAGATGGAGGCGGCTGGTTTCATCCAGGAATTTCCTTCAGTCGTCATTCGTGGAATTTCGGACTATGCAGATTCCCACAAGAACGATGTCTGGCAGCATTATGCCGCGGGTACTGCCGCGGCCTGCGCCAGGGAACTTCTTACATACTTAGAGCCAGAGCACAAATCTCCAGTAACATTACCTATGTTTGGTGAATCATTACGGTAGCAGAGACTCTGACCTAATTGATATACAGAATACAGCGTGCAGACGGCTACATTTGATTCAAGAGACTTATTAGAGCAATTTCTGGCAGATATTTGCGAGACTGACCCACTAAACGAGATGACTCGCATCCGGCAAAGTAAAGGCACCTTATTGGCACAATGTTACACTTGGATTATCCAAAGTCCCGAACTGCAAAGGTGGCAGACTGAAAGTGATACAAGGTTGCTGTGGATGAAAGGTGGCCCTGGTAAAGGGAAGACAATGGCCATGATAGGGTTAGTGGAGTGTCTTTCGGATCAAACAACACCCCAGGATTCCACTTACCTTTCTTACTTCTTCTGCTGCAATGGAGTTTCACAACTCAGCAAGGCACTCTCAGTTCTTCGGGGACTGATTTGGAAGGTATTATGGGCAAACCGCAGTCTCTGTATGTATATACCCGATGAATACAGATGCAAAAAAGATCATGGGAAAGATATATTGGATGGCCCAAACGCATTTGCAATCCTTACGACTATGCTTTGTCGAGTGCTCGAAGACGAAACTATGGGTACTGTGTTTCTATTGGTCGATGCACTGGATGAGTGCGACAACGGCATGTATTCCCTCTTGGACTGGATTGTGAACGAGGCGTCGAGACCTTCAACAAAGGGCAAATGGCTTCTTTCCAGCCGCCACAGTCCTGCCTTTGAGGACTACTTTCTTTCCAGTCACTGTATGGCCTGCCGTAGCTTAGATTATGGCGAGGGATGCATGTCAGACGCTGTGAATTACTCCATTAAATACAGAGTCAAACAGCTTGCTGAAAGAAAAAATATATCTCTTGTTCTCCAAAATGAGGTCGAGACAGAACTCAAAGCAAAAGCCGAGTCGACATTCCTCTGGGTTGCATTGGTCTGCCAACGTCTTCAATGGATTTCGCGCAGAAGACTGAAGAAGGAGTTGAAAGAAACACCACCCGGTTTAGAACTCCTATACGACCGCATGCTGCAGCAGTTCGAGAACTATGATGACGAAGAGGACAGGGGCATGTGTTTGAGAATAATTTCGACGGTCATCGTAGCCTGTTGCCCTCTAAATTTCAAGGAGCTTGCTATAGCCGCAGAACTTCCAGCAAATATCATAGAAGATATTCATCAACTCGTCGAGCTCTGTGGCTCTTTCTTTACCGTCCGTCACGCAAGTGTCTTCTTAACTCATCAATCCGTGAAAGAATACTTTTGTATAGGTGTCGAACAGAGGATATTTACTCATGGAGTCGCACTTGAGCACAGTGCGGTTCTTGAGCGGCTACTAAACGCTATGAATTCTAGACTGAGTCGAAATATGTACAACATACAGTATCCTGGTTGTTCGATTGACGAAAGCATAACCCCCTAGCCTGACCCTCTAGTACCGCTTCAGTACGCACTTACATGCTGGGTGGACCATTTGGCCCTTTTCTTCCAGCTTCGTGACGCAACACAGCTATGATGTCGAACAAATAGAGACCTTTATTAAGAAACATTTTCTTCACTGGCTCGAAGCCTTGAGCCTGACAAGACAGATGAGACATGCACTCAGTATAATTGGCAGGTTACAGCTTGTTTTTAAGGTAGAAGCCGTTATCAGCACGGAAAATATGACACGACTAACAAGATTATTAGTGCCACTTTATCTTTAAGACTGATATACTATCTGTGGTTCAGGATGCCTATCAGTTCAATCTCTATAGTAAAACATGCGTCTAATGCACGCCTCTACAGGTTTATTACTCGGCCCTTGTATTTAGCCCACAGACAAGCATAATCCGACATGACTTTTATGGGGATATGCCCACTTGGCTTAGAAACCTCAATGTGCTGGACGAACAGTGAAGTCCTTGTCTTCAAGTCTTCGAGGGTCATACTGATGCAGTCTGTCGGTACTCTTCTCTCCGGATAATCGGCTGCTGGTTTCTGGGTCTGCTGATCATACTGTTCGCATACGGGATACGACAACGGTGCCACTTTACACACTCTCCAAGGTCACACGGATTCGGTGATAGCACTAACTATTTCACTAGGTGGTGAAGCTGTTGCTTCTTCCGCTTTGGATACAACCGTTAGGGTCTGGGACTCGCAGTCGGGAGGTTGCCAGATGACCATGAGGATTCATTACAATTTTAGCTCTGTGGCATTCGCACCTCATAGCCGAAATTTAATACTTTTGAATTTTCACAGAGAGGTGCAAATATTGGATACATTTGAAAGTTCAATATTGCATAGCTACCAACTGCACTCTGCTCTGTTGAATCCGACAACTCTTGTCACTTAATGGAAAATGGATCGCTTCTGCTTGTGACGACGGAGCTGTAAGACTGTGGGAAGTCGAGACAGGTAGCTTATCTTATGCATAGGCAATCCTGGGAAGCAATCTCCGTCATCGACGAAAAAGCTTAGAGGCTAGAATCCGATGCCACTGTTGCGATGCGCGTTTCGGGCATTGCCATTTGTTGTTCAAGTAGTTAAGAACAAGCTTCGTTAATTGGAGAGCGTGTTCTCAGCGTTCTCCTGTAAGTATATGCTATATCGGAGAGTGGATCCTGCTATCCGGGATAACCCCGCGGAATACTCCGTGACCGAGTTCCGACCACATCGCTTTTCATCATTGTAATTCCAATGTGGAAAAGTATATATACTTATGTATACCTATCTTACCTAAACATGCAGAAGGTACTGAATAAATTAGCCAATTTCTTTATCCTAGACTCAAATAATGACGGTTGTAAATAAGGCGAAGAAACGCAGAGCGGAAGCGGCGTGCCGTGCGGTAAATGTTCCGTAGATACCGCGGATAAAGTGGAGAACTGGTGGCACGTTGAGTGGAGCCTAGATCGCTGCGGGCCTAGGCTGGCCAATCAGTAGCCAACTGCTAGCCTGAATGCGGAGGCTAGACACCATTAAGCTGATGAAAAATTCATAGTTGGCCGATGTGGGGAGAAGTGGGTTTATAGTGGATAAGTTTTGGAATATCAAGATGCATGCCTAGTTGCATACTAAGAACAAGACGTAAGAACGAGAAATTCTTTGCTAACCATCAATTGTTAGACTTCTTTCGCGGTTTGCGGACGTGGGGGTTTGATGTCTATATCTTGTCTTGGTATGGGTTTGCTATTAGGGTCAAGGCTATGGACCATAATCCAGCTTCCCATGGGAACAGTTCTATGATATTTATGTCTCTTCAAAAAGACTGAATATCTACTATGCACCTAGAATTCAACTAAAAAGCAATATTACCTTTGCATTCCATCAGATTATCAGCCTTTCCAGGGCTCGCAATTTCTCTCTGTGAGTAATTCGGGTTTCTCAGCGAGACGACATCGCAATACTGTGCGACTAGGAATGCACGTATTTGTAATCAAGCTAGTAAGTAACTAACTATGCAAAGTCCAGATCATCACAGATAAGCTTTTGACACTACCCCATAGGCAGGCCGTATACAGGAAGGGATTATGTTTGTCGGTTTCTTTGGGATGAATCACTTAAGGACGGGAAATCGGCACGGCCGCAGACCCACTGTGGCCTCATGAATCTCAACAAGTTCCCGCTCCGTCGAGACGAAATGAAATCATTCATGCCCAAGCAGATAACTTAAAATTTACTCTTCCCTCCTGCTAGACCAGTCTAGATCGCGGCATCATACGACAATGGCGACTCTTCTGCAACGTCGAAGACTGAAACAAACCCTTCAGCAACAGCTTGATTCCACCAACGGCGACCTCAAAGCTCTGCCATGCGTCCTTGCATCCGAAACACAAACCTACAATGGCCGAGAATACACGATAGTTCAGTGGGATGGTCCCGATGATCCTCAGAATCCGCGCAACTGGCCATCATCTCGCAAATGGTTTGCAACATTTCTAGTTGCTCTACTGGCTGGCTTGGTCGGTGCCTGTGCACCGATAGATTCTCCGATTTTCCCTCAAGCAGCAAAGCAATTCGGCGTCAGTGAAGTCTCTGAATCGCTCTCCGTCGGTATCTTTTTGATTGGCTTCGGATTTGGTGCTCTCATTGCAGGGCCAGTATCAGAGGTGCTAGGCCGGTCAGTTACATACCTCTCGAACGTCTTCTCTATGTGCATCTGGATCATGGCCGCCGCCCTGGCCCCTAACTTTGGAGCTCAGATGGTTTTCCGTTTCCTGGCAGGCCTCTCAGGCGCTTCTCCCCTTGTGTGTGCTGGTGGTACCATTTCGGACATGTTTACTCCTCTCGAAAAAACGTATACTTTCGCGTTCTTCTCGCTTGGTGGCTTTGCAGGTCCTGCACTAGGTCCAGTAATGTCCGCCTGGGTTCCTGATTCGCCGTACCTTCACACGTGGCGATGGTCTGAGTGGATAGCTCTGCTCTTTTCCGGTGTGGTGTTTTTCTTGCTGCTAGCCTTTCAACCAGAGACTTTCGAGCCTGTTCTCCTGGAATGGAAAGCAGAAAGCTTGCGCAAATTGACCGGTAATGACTCGTACCGCGCGCTCCACGAAGTTGAAGGTGTGTCCATTGGCCAACGGCTACAAGTTGCCTTAGGAAGACCATTCGTTCTCGCGTGGCATGAACCAATCATCCAGGTGGCAACACTGTATCTGACTGTCAATTACATCATTCTCTTTACCTTCTTTGACGGCTACACCACCATCTTCCAGGATACATATGATTTATCAACTGGTATGACTTACACCTTATTTGTCGGTATCGCAGTGGGCTTCATCACCGCCGGGATATACATGCCGTTGGTCTATAGCAAAACATGTAAAGCAGCTCGAGCTGCAGAGGCAGAAGGACGCAAGTCCTTTGATCCAGAAGTCCGGTTGTGGTTCGGAATGCTCGGCGCCCCGGCTGTGCCAATCTCCTTGTTCTGGATGGCGTGGACGGCGTATCCGTCCATCTCCATCTGGTCTCCTCTGATTGCCTCTGTGCTGTTCGGGCATGGTTTCATCACGATTTTCATAACGGTTTATATGTATCTGATCGACAGTTACCAAGCTTACGCAGCATCCGGCCTTACTTTCATTACTTTGGTGCGGTACGTTGCCTCCGGTGGTATGGTTGTGGTGGGAATTCCATTCTACAACAACATGGGCACGCACTGGACTATTACTATCCTCGCATGCATTAGTTTATTGTTGACGCCGATGCCCTACGTGTTTTACAAATTCGGGCATCGAATCCGGATGAGGAGTCCATATGCCTCAAACAAGAAGATCTTGGCTTAACTTTTGGAAATGGATAGAACGAGCAAACATGCCTGATTGCGGTGCATGTTCAATGGCTTGGTGTTCGCGGTTTGTCAATTTCCCAGGTGCTACGTATGGCGTACCATAGCATGTGATAGAATATTATATATTAAATTATTCAAAGATGATGTACGTAATACATTTCAACTGATCCCCCTCCACATGTACGTTATTTTCCAAAAGTTGTATGATTTGGTCAAACACCGACTGGCAGATGCGACAGTTTCAAGGCCCTCTCGCTGTGCATTACTCCTATCAAGGCCAAGTACAGGTATTTCGAAGAAAAGTTTGCGAACTGCTAGGCATGATATTTGACATAAATTCTAACTAATGAGTTGGCTTTACTTGTATGTGACCCAGTTTTGCTAAGGGGTGAAGCCAGAAACTAGGATGCATATTTCCAGAACCTTGTGATTTACGATGGCAATTTCACCCTTGTTACGCGTTAACACAATTAAAGAGATAACAACGGATTCGGAACGCTGTATTAGCTAGTATTGGGAATACTATATAATCTGCATATCTAACTAAAGAGAATAATCAGGGGGTTATTTGAGGCCATATTTATGATCGGAATAGGGGTTAACTTGTCGGAAACTTCGGTTTGATTACTGTCGAGTATAGCTAGGATAGCTATTAATGGGCAAAGTTAATAGGCTTCTAATATATAAAAGTTGTAAAGAAATAAATAAAGTTTTAAAACAAGATAGAATATCTTAATTAATAGAAGATTATATACTTAAGTTATCTTAGTTAATTTAAGATAATAAAAGAAAACTAAATATAGAATAAATAAACATTCTTATATAACTTTTTTTTATTATAGCTATTATAAATACTTTCTTATATCTAATTCTAATAAGTCTAATTATATCTATTATAACTATATATTAATAACTAGCTTTAATAATTATAATAGCTTTAATCTTAATATATTTTAGTTTTCTGTATAATATTTCTAGATAATTTTTTATTTTTATATATTAATATTTTTTATCTATTAACTATAATATTCTAATTCTCTAATAATTCTTTTCTTTGAAAATGTCAGAGAATCAGAACATTACAGCCAATAGATAAGGGAAACTAATGCAGGATGGAACAAAGGATTATCTGTAACTGTTAGGGTTAGGGTATTATAGAAATTAGAGCAAAGGCTATGATGGCTATAATGGAGGAAAGTTATAAAAGAATATATATTTACTCTATTTAATTTTCTTCTATTATTTTAAATTAACTATAATAACTTAAGTATATAATTTTCTATTAATTAGAATATTTAAGAATCTTATTTTTATTTCTTTTATCTAATTAAATCTTTTAATCTTAAAAGCTTATTAACTTTGCCTGTTAATAGTTATTTTAATTATACTTGATAGTAATTAAACTAAAGTTTTTAACAATTCAAGATTCTTAGTTGAAAAAGAAGTCTTAAAGATAAATAATAATAATATTTTAGACCCTAGTTCTAATAATTTTAAATTCTAATTTATAAACTACTAATACTAGCAGTAGAGATACTATAACTATTAATAATAAAGATATAATAGTACTACTAAAATGCATTAATAATCTAGAAAAAGCTATAGTTAATAATAAAGAAAAAGCAAATCATACATCTTAAAAAGTTAAGATTAGAATAATAACTCTATTTAAAAGAGAATATAGAATCTTTAAAGTATATTTTATCTAAATATGACTCTATTTTATATATAATAGTAAATAAATTATAAATAAATCTAATAAAATATTAGCAGTATTAAGCTTTCTTAATAAAGAAACTATAAAGTGGACAATCGCCATTTGTGGCGGCGACGCTGATTCGCGCATCCACAATGCGTTGCCCCGATTAGGTTTAGTGGCCTGTGTGTGGCCTAAAGAAACTCCTATTCTGGTTTAGCGTGGCTAGATTGGGGATTACATAGATTTAAGGGTAGACCTTAAGGTATATAAATCGTGAGTGTGTTGCTTAATAATTATTCTTTATCTATCTTTGTAAATATTTTTTTTTTGTTTTTACTTACTTACTTACTTGTATGTGTATCTGGGCTGGTCTTATTATTAACTTAGCTAAAAAATGGTATTACTATTAGGCCTCTATGTGTAGTATTATATTAAATATCTATCTTAATGTCCTTTGATCTCTCTTAAAGATGCTGCTTACTAATAGACTGTGCTTCTTATATAGTCAGTAAAGTAATGATATAATGATAGTATAGTAATAGTAAAGTACCATTATAGTATAAGATAATAGCAGATGAGGCTGTAAGTTGATTTTAGACTAATGCAACAAATGAATATAGCTTATAGACTATAGAAGAGTTTATTATGTCTTAGAAGGATAATTAAGAATAAAATAAGTAATATCTTATAATAGGGCTTTAATTTAATAATAAATATTACTAATAGTATATTAAGTTATATTATTTAATACTACAGCTAGAAGAGATATATACTATAATATAGTTATTAGAAAATACCTTAGAAGGGTTAATTATAGTGTTGTGGAAAGAGACTAACATTAATAAAAAATTAACTATATATCTAGGCTTTACTTAGATTAATATAAAATATATCACCTAATAACTTATAAGCATTAGTTATAGCTAAAGTCCTATATTTCTCTATCTAATATAAAGACTAAATCTGGCTATTAAAGAAGTCTAATATAATATTACTATATTAAAAGTAATCTTATTTATATATATTATAGGATTATAATTATAAAGATTGCTAATTAGAAAATTTATACATTAAAAAGATAAAGATAGATCTAATATAGTAATAATTCTATATTGGATATTTTTCAGAAAAGGGAGAAAGGAGAGAGGAAGATAGATATAAATAGATTAAACTAAATAAAAGAGTTATTATAGCTATAAAGATAAGAATCCTATTTTTTATATTATAACTCTGCTCTTTTAGATATAGATTCTATATTATATAATTATAAAAGTAGCTACTTGTTCTACTTGGCTTATTCTTTATTTTCTCTTTATTTTGTATATTTTATATCCTAGATTTCTTTTATTTTTTATTTATCTTAACTATGATCTTTTTTAATGAGATTTTTTTTTATTAATTATACTTAAAACTATCTACTAAATTATTACTATCCTTTAAGCTTTCTTTTATTATACTAAAATCTCTTTTATCACTTTATCTGCTGTTTTAAAAGCTTAATTCTTAAATACTTTTATCTTTAATTTCTAATTAAATGTCTTAGGCGTGGCAGTTATGGTATAAATTAGTATTTATATCTACTTATTAATAAAGAATACTAGTGCTGGCTCTATATAATAATAAATTTAATATAGCACTTATAGCCTTTAATAATATGGCTGTTATAAATATTGATATGATAAGTATTGCTCTAGAGAATTATAGTAATAATTTAATTAGTAGTCTAATGTGACTGTATCTAAATGATAAGTTAATATCTTTTTAAGAACTGCTATAAGCTTTTAAGAGCTATATTTATCTGATAATTAAGAAGGAAATGCTAATATTACATCCCAAAATATATTTGATTCTAGTGGTCTATAGTGCCTATTGCTTATAAATAAAGATGGCTAAATTCTATTAGGTATAATATCTAAATCTACAGTCTTTATACCATTTTAGAGCTTATATAAAGATATTATAAAAGAAGCTAGTAGTCTAGGGCTAGCTGATACTTAATATATATAAAGTAAGTCCTCTTTTCAGCTATCAATAAGTCCTCTCAGTGAGATATATAATACTAATAAGATAAGATTAGGAAATAGGAATAGCTGGCTATTTAGTACTCTAGATTAATTAGATAATATTTATATAGATGTTATATATCTTACCAATCTAAGCTATAAAAATCCTTATTTATAGATAATCCTATTACTTATTAAAGATTATATTATAAATCTTTAGTCTATAAGGAATATAATACAAATACAAAATTCTAGTATTAGCATCACAAAAAATATTAATAATCTTGCTATGAGTAGGGCTATTAAAAGAGATAATGATATTAAGATTATAATATTAGATCTAATTTTATAGTAGAGCCTAGTTATAAGGTTTATAATGTAGGATAATGCCTTTAATTAAGATATCTAGACTTTATATAAGAATAATGAAATTATTATTATAATATCTATCTACTTTAAGGATTAGCTAAAATTATAATATTATAAAAAGAAATAAAGCACATACTGTAAGCATAAGATCATGATAGTGGTTCTCTTAGAATTGCAGCTGTGTAATCTATAGCCTTAAATATTAACTAAATAATCTTATTGTGAATGCTGGAAGAGATGAAGGTATTGATTGCTATTATTTGAAAGTAATAATAGTGATGATCCTTATAACTTAGATGATAATGATTATATTGATATAGCTTAGTATAAGAGTAATAAGCATTATTTAATTAAATAATCTTATTATAAATAGTAAAAGAGATAAAGATATTGATTATTATTATTTAAAGATGACAATTATGATAATTTTAATGACTTAAACAATAATGATTATATTAATAAAACTTAATAAAGATAAAGCTCTATAATTACTAATTAGTCTAAATAGAGAACTATAATTAAATTATAGCTTAGTGGTTTATTATTTCTAGACTTAGATATTATATTCTAAAAAACCCTTATCTATAAGATCTTTTTAGGAAAAATTATTTATTAGTTCTTATAAATGGTTGGATAAAAGAGCTTTAATTTTTAATAAACTAAATATTTTTTAGAGTGGGTATATAATTTATATAAGAAGAGTAGTAAACTAAAAGATAATTCTTATATATCTTTAAAATACAAGAATATCAAAGAGTTATAGATTAAAGAAAAGAAAGCTAATTTAAGATAGTTAAAAGAAGATAATAGATTACTATAATTATAGATTAAAAAGTATTTTCTCTATTATATTAAGAGAGTAATTATAATTTGTTACTATATAAAGTTTAAAGATTAGATTATATTATATCTATCTCTATTGAC